TTGTGTCTCACCGGGCCATCAATTTTCTCTTCAGAATTCTTACACATCAGAATTCTGAACTCAACCCTATATTTTCTATCTAAAGAATAAGACGAAGCAAGGTTCAGGCAAAGTGATGCATGAAAGAGCTATACTATTTATTGTACCTAAGCCAAAGCTTTTCAGATCTTGCTGAGTATCTCTGCATAGTCTTCTACTGTCTGCTGTGCCTTAGAGATAGCATGCATAATGTGGATTTGCAGCCTAGCAAACTTATACTGCCTGAAAACTCCCTTGTTGAACTGAAGTGGAATTTTCACTAATGCTTATTTTGGCCTCATACTGATTCATCCACCATATTTCCAGTTCAGAATATCAATTTTTTTCTTTAATATCATCTGTAGGAATAACTCTTCATCAATTTCCATTTTTGCACTTTTAGTCCAGAGACTCAGTGTGCTATAGTTGTTTAATAACAGATGGATAAGTGGATTCAAAGCCCCAGCATGTTAAGAACTTTCTTACCTGTTTTCTGGTTCTTGGCTTGTTGCTAAGTAAAGGAAACCCTCACTCCAACTTTTCAACTTCTGTTTAAAAACTTCATAGACACTGTCTTTTAGTCTACATGGGTTAGATGTTTTTTTCCCAAATGTAAAATTCCATAAGTAGGTCTTCATCGTAACTTTCACAGGAAAGCTGAGATAGACTTCATTTTTCTTCATAGGACTGTTAGGTCTGATGAACTCATTAGCCTACTTACAGAAGGCTGATCTGTCCTTTAAAGCATGGGCAATATCATCTTGACAGGTATAATTACCAGACTTCCAGCTTTGATGCCCAGATAGGGCTAAGAAAAAGTGGCCTCTACAATGAATGGGAATCAGAATTTGGTGTATAGGTAGCTCAAAGTGGTGCCTTCAGTCTCAGTGTTCTTCCTTTAATCCTTCAATGCTGTCTAAAGAGGGAGAAACACATTCGCAATTCTTATCTGTGGAAACTGGAAATACTGGAAGAGACTCATTCAACTCATGCTTTCTATATCTTTTTTTCCTGTTGAGAAGGGGATGGGTTATGAGCTATGTTTGCCTAGCTGTAGGATTTATCTCAGCACATATAATCTTTTAATTCAGCAATTGTCTGTATTGTTAATAGACTTTTACTATAGTTGAAAAAAAATCTACAAGTCAAGTAAATGAACCTAAATAATCCTGTTATTTCCTGTTGGGTAAAAACTCAAGAGCTCTTGAAAGCTCTCAAATGTATCGGTGCTAAAGTGAGGCTATCACCTTTTATATGCTTTTAAACTTAACTGCCTTTATTGACTTAATCTGAAAGACCAACTGAAGAAGTACTGACTGTATGTAAAGTTCATCGTGGCTGTTTAGTGCTAGAGTCCAAAGTCATTCCATCTGGAAAATTTATGTTACCTAATGCTTCTATGTAATAGCTTTTACTTCGAAGGTATATGGATTATTTTTAAGTCTGAAGTGCAAAACTAGTTGCCCTAATTTAAAGACTAGTTCCAGAGGATTTACAATAGCTTGCTGTGCAGAGACACTTAAACTAACAGCTTGGAATTCTAGTCATACAATCCTTAATCATTTCCTTTGCATTATTGCTTTTTTTCAAAGTCTGTTTCCTTGCCTGCTGTCAGAAAAGGGAATGCAGAGAAACCCTTACTATCCATAACATCCCACAACTGGAATTTCTGCTCAAGTGTTATGCATAATGTAGCTCTCTGATTGTGCCTTTGAAAGGTTTGTGTTTCTGTAAAAAGGAATTCAGATGACAAGGTGGTGCATTCTGTTCTATAAAATGAATGCATAATACCACTGAGCTCACTTTACGTGACTTTAAGAAGCACAGCTTTCAAGGAGATTCCATGGCTCTTTACCATGTGGCACAATACATTGGAGAAACTGAAAGTTTGCGATAAATAATTCAATTGCTTATTAATGACATACAGAATGGCAGTTTGGGGGGTTGGGTTTTTTTTTTTGTTTTGGTGGGGTTTTTTTGTGTGTGTGTCTATGCTAACTGCAATCTGGGCTTTCTGGAAACACAACCTGTTTTGGGAAGAAGCATTTCATATAATCTGCTTTGTCTTTTTCCAGTTACTTATTTCTAAATTATGTAATTTAGCAGCTTAAGGTACATTCTCTCTCTGAAAAAGAAAACTTGGTCAAATACAAATTCTGAAGCTGAATAAACAGTTCTTAAACTGTAGTCCTAAGACTAGTACAAGACAACTTGTTTTAGTGGGTTGTATGAATAGTTGTTGCAACATTTGTGATGATACATGAACTTTTGGAAATCCAGATATGAGGGTAACCATTTATGGAAGGATTATTCCACATGAATAAACATTTACCTTATAATAGGAAAGGACATGCCAAGCTATTCACAAGAGGCTTACAATCTTGAAATGATAAATGTTATGTTTCCATGAGAAATGGGGATGCTATATAATGTAAAAGAAGGTGCACTGGAGTATGCCAGAAGTCATTAGCTTTCATTTTGAAAGCATTCTAAATGTGCTCACAAATAGTTACCTCTAATATCTTGGCAAATAGGAACTAGTGTTTTTTTATACCCAGATACAATTCTTTATACAGTTCTTACTAAATTTCTGCGGATTCCATAAAGCTCAAAATGTAATTTCATATAGATTTTTCTAATCGACCAAGGTAATGGGAGATTCTAAACTTAATCAAAGTAATCATCCTTCAAATAGCAAAGGAGACTTCATTTTTTATGGTAATTACAAATATATTGTGTTTTGAATATTTTCCTTTCTGCTTCCAGAAGCAGCAAACCTATTTATCTTATACTACTGTCTGTATTTCCATTTGTTAAGTATGTGTGAAACTGATGTCCAAGTGCGGTTAAACTCCTTATTACAGTAACAACCAACTGGAGTAACATTTGCTTGTTTTGTACAAGGAGTTGATCTATGGATTTAGTTGTGCACTCTTTTTTGCATTGAAGGAGGTACAAAACCACTATGTAGTATGGTTAGGGTCATGCAGAAGGCTATAGTCATGAAATTATTTCATCTGCAGGGAAACTAGACGTTAGTTGTTCTCACTGATCATGTATACGTGTTCTGTGTTGGATTAATGCACATGTCTGCATTATTTCAGGACTTCCAGGATAGCCTTGAATGTCATCTTATACATATATGTAAAAGAAAATTTCTTAAGCTGTCCTGAATTTTAAAAGCTGAAAATTTTAGTCCCATGGAGACTTGTAAAATATATCTGGTAGCTGGCCCGTGGTGGCAACTTGAAACATGCATACACAGTCTTCACATATAACCTAGAAATCTGATGGTCAGAGTCAAATTGGAATTAACTGCCTGCAAGTTTTACACTAGAAGTTCCAATCTTACTCAACAACTTAACTGCCATTCTGTTGTAGGTGGTTAAAGATAGAGGTGATTTCGTTTAAAAAGCTCTCCTTAGAAAGTCCCTTGATGTTTCTTGACTAAAGCAGATAAAGTTTCAGTCTTTTAACTGACATTAGTAGACTGCAGATTTGTGACATATGTCTGATAAAATATTTGCATATGTTTGTCTTCTATTGTGTCATTCACTTAAATTAAAGTGAAATAGCAGATTTGTAGTCTGTGCAGTCAGCCAAGTGAGGAGTCATAGAGATAATTTAACAAAATCCATTTGTTGTTTTATCTTTGAGTTACTGGGGAAAAATAATTTCTCAAAGTGCCCTGATAGTTAAAGCTAACATCTGAAAACACTGAGTCCACAAGAAAAGTTAGTTACACATCATTAAGTATAACCATGATGTGAATTTCAACACTCCTTCCACAGGTGTTTTCCATTAGAATATGTCTGCTCCATTCAGACCTATTTTAAGTAAATTCACTAGGAAATGCCTCTTTACGTGTTTATCCTGGAAGGGCAGATAGGTGTTTTATTTTATAAAGCAGTCTAAAAGTTTTCTATTCTTCAAATGAAAAAATATTTTTCAGAACATACTATTGCAGTTTGGTAATGTATTTCTAGCTGCCATTAGAGACACTTATAATTAAAACATAATAAAATTCATGAAGCAGAAATGACCGTTTCTTAGAAATGCTGGTGAAAGGGGTATTTGCCTACATAAGTGTTTGTGTAAAAATTTTATGTTTATTATATACACTTTTATTAATATAAAACTCTACTGTTAAACTTTCCTTTTGGTGATCTTGTGAAATATTGTTATGTATTGATTATATACTTTAAGCTTAGAGTATATAATCTCTTAAATAACATGTAAAAAATGTACTGACTTGCTAGCAATTATTTCATGACAAATACCCAATATCAGTAATTTCCAGTAATAATTTTTTTAGTTTTGGGAAACAGTTTAGCGCTTACAGACAAAACCCACATCTTTCAAATGCTTTAATTGAAATCTTTAATCTGAAAACAGATACATGGGATGTAACTAAGAACAGCAACAGATTATATGTCTATGTATAGATTACATGGCCACTTCAGTGTTTGTTTTCTCCCTGAAAAAATTATTTGGATTACAAGAAAATTAGAAAAAAACAGCATTCGGTTTTGCTCCCTTTTCTTCACTTTCAAAATTCGTAGTAGCACAAAGAGTTGGAAAAAAATACATTTTGATTTTGCCCTCTATATGTATAACTGAGGGGTAGTAGAGGAGTGATTTAAATTCTGCAGCTTTTAAAATGAAATATTTGAACTGTGTTGTTGCTTAAACCATCTTTGTAAGTTTTCTAAGTGTTGCTTTTATATAACGTTGGTTTTTTTCAACTTCTTTCCTAATACTCTTCACACTGAGAAGAGATATTAGATAATCAGGGAGGTAAACATTTCTTATTGCAATATTTTTTTACAACATTAAATCAATTAAAGGGGTGCTATATATGCCATTTGCTTATATTTTAAGTCATTTTGTAAATAGTGAACAAAGTGTCTCAGATGAGGGTTTTTTTGTCTGTTTTGCTAGCTGGCCATGGTTACAATAATATGAACGTTTTCTCCCAATAGCATCAGCGACTTCTTGACATTTTGGAAGCAGAGAAGGAAGTATTATCAGAAAAGATAGAAGAGGCTTTGATGCAGCAGTCACAAAAACACAAGGTATTGTGTTTCTTTTTTTTATTTACCTAAAAAAAAAAAGGGGGTCTGATCAGCACCAGGGGGTTCATTGGCTATGATCCTGTCACAATTACTGACGAGAAGAAGAAGCTTTCTCAAGCACTTTAAGTGTTTAAAATGACTTTTTGCTGCTCCTCTATTGTGTATTGCAGTTTAATTTTTCATAACATTTCAGGAAGTACTTGACAAATGTTTGGATGAAGAAAGACAAAGAAGTAAGGAGGCTCTGGCAGCTGCTGCAAAGGTATCTTTTGTTAAGTAATAGACGTGCAATGTGGATTCCATGTGTGTCATAAATGCCAAGTTCAGCAACTCATTCATTTTCATAACTAAATTTGTCGAACTCTATGTTCTCATCTGTTTGAAAGAAGCTAGTTCTGTAAATCATGAACATATCTGCTGTATCCTGTGCCTCAGTACAGGCAGTCTGTGTAACTTCTATCTAAGATAGCCTCTGAATTAGTTTATAACAAGAAGTCACAATATTGCAGATTTTTGTTACCTGTCTGTTTTTTTGGTCTCCCAGTTAACATCAGTGCATCTTGATTTGAAGAGCTAGGTAGCAGGGTCAACTGGTGATCTTAATAAGACAGTTAGCATCGTGTCCTATTTAACTTTTGTTAAATATGGTAATTTTCAATGAGGACAGAACTATCTTGTAAATGATTTACAAATTTGAACATTTAACAGATTTTAAATTTAAGTTAATGTTTGACTAAAAGTGTTCACTTTTTAAAATATGGTTTCTTCTGCCTATATTATGATTGAATGCACTGGGGTTTGGACAGTAATTTTGTAAATGTTAAGCTACCTTTCATTTCTAATACTGATGTAGAATCCAGTACAAAAGTTCAGTTCCATGTAGTGATCTGGGAAATCGAGGGATGTATGTTGCTTATCACAGTTGGTTAGGCTATATTATCATTTCCTGTACATCTTCATATGTAGTATATGCACATTAGCTCACCACCTGTCTGAGTGACATTCAGTAACACAAGAAACGTCTGTTATATGGTTGATTTCTACAGGAAAATGTGTGTATAATAAAATATCATCATTTAATAGGGCATTTTTTAACCTATGTTTTTATTATATTTTATAAATGTCTAAATAAAAGATCACATTCCAGTGAATTGCAAGAAACAGCTTTATTTACAAGTGTAGTGCAAGAGGAACCCAGTATTTTTTTTTGGCATTCATAACTTTGCTTGACCAGGTCCATAATCACCCCCAAAGGGCATTGAAATGACCTGTAATTTTACTAAAATTGGGGGGGGGTATCAGCAGTTGTTTGTTTATTTTGTACTTCAGCCATTATTTATATGTAGACGTTATGTAATGAAATGGAGGGACACCTTCCACTAGACCAGGTTGCTCAAAAAAGTGCTTCTTGTAGAGCTTTGGGAGGGAAGATGCATTTGTTTTATGTATGTATTGGTTACTTTGCCACAGAAAGCACTCTGACTGTTTTTGGACTTTAGGTGCTTGTAGATAAGAGTGGGAATATCTTGTATATGGTAATATCAGGCAGTGCTGGGGAGCCCATTATGTACCTGCTCTTACAGGGTTTCTGCTGCATGTTTTTGTGTTAGCATTAACCAAACCAGTTATGATATATTGTATTTTCAGTAGGTGGGAATTTAAGATTCTTACTTGTAACTTTGTTTTTCTTTCTGTAACTACAGTCATTGTCCACTGGTAATACCTGCCTGGTAGTACCTCAAGGTAAATTTAAGCTCATACTTCAGGTGTGAAAATATTGATCTACCATCTTTTGTCAGAGAGATGTCATTAGAATAAGTAATATAAATGAGTTAGGCACCCATGCTGGGTACTTTGGTCATTTATTTGTGCTTGATTTATTTCAAAGGCTGAAAAAGAAGTAGTGCAGGCAGCTATTCTGAAAGCAGTAGAGGAGGAGAGGAGAAGTATGGAGAAGATTCATGCAGAAGAAAGAAAAATGTGGGAAGCAGAACGTGACAAAGATAAAGAGAAGATTGCCCAGGCTGTTCGGGAAGCCATGCAAGAGCAAAAAAAGCGAAATCAAGTTAGTATATTTTACCCTTCCATGGATCTGCTTTGTGTATTTTATTTTTTATTTTGAATGTCATCCTAATGTTGTATTACGTTTTCTTGTGACATCTTTCATTTGTCACTGCACCTAGTTGATATTTGCAGTGCATAGCTACCTTGCTGATTTATCTTCATCTACACTATGTGTATGGAGAGAAGTTGGCACACACAGAATAAAATTCCTGCAAACTTTTCAGGTACATATATTAAAATGAGATGAATTGTGTGCCATAACTGCATGGTTTTGTCCTCTGATTTCTAAAGGAGCCCAAAATGACCAGCTCAGATAGTGGCATTTATGTTGTAGACTGTTAAGGTGACTTTTTTTTTTTGTACTGATGAAAGAGAAAAGATGTTACGTTTATTTCTTCTCCTGGAATTCCATTATCTCTCTTAATAAAAATGTGCTTTTAGAATAGGTACAAAATAGAGTTAGAGAAATTGGAAACCTGAACCAGTAATGAACCAGAAATGTTTTTAGAGTTACTTTGTAGAGAGGTGCTTCTGTAAGGATAATTGTGCATCACTTAACATAATTTGGGAGGGACATTCCCAGAATTGCTTTTAACAACTGTAGGAATTACAATTTAATTACATTATAATAGCCGTTACATTACCTTCCAGAAGTTGAATTATGTACTTTCTGATGCTGGACATATCTGGGGGCACACCCTGTAAATTCACTGATTTCTTGGTGGCATTCTTGAATGTTATGATCTGAAAAGTTTTAAACAAGATACATTTCATTTTGCTGTTGGAATTTGATATTACTGTATTTTTTTAATGTCCAGAGCAACAACAACAACAACAAAAAAGACCTTTAGAATTTTAAAATAGCATATCACAGAAGTTTAAAAATCAACTTTTTGGTAACAGACCCCATTTCCCTTGCCAGTGCTAAATGGAATTACACAAAAAGTTGGGTTTTGATGCTAGGCTATTCTTATACTGTCTTCTTATTTTTTTCTAGTATAAATAGAATGATATTACTTTGTATATGGGTTGTTTACTTCTTCTGACTGTAAAGATATCAAGTGATGTCAGTTTTCAAGACTGCAATTTCACTATACTGATAAGCCTTCAGGCATTCAAACTCATCTTTGCAACAAAAAGCAGGTGACTTCAAGGCTAAAGTCAAGCTGAGAACAATTGCTTGGGATTTAGTTAGGTACAAATTATTTAGACTAGCCAGAACAAGAACTGGTAGTGGTAGCATAGAATAGAAGGGAAAGCAATAAAGTAGTTGTTTGTTACAGTAAATACAGCAATTTCACAGTTCATGGAACATGATGAGAGTTTTGATGAATCCTGAAGATTTTTGGTGAAGGAGTCCTGTAGCTGGATGCAATTATTACATTTATGGATCTGAGGAGCATGTAAAATGTCCTGGGGTAGGAGAGTGGTGGATTAAGTTGATGTAATGACTCAGGGTGGAATATACTGACAGAGTTTATGTTCTTGATACTGCCTTTGAAGTTGTCACAAGACAGTATGGTATTAGAAGTTTAATACTGATGGATGTATTTTTTCAGAGAAGGTGTTAAATATGCTGAGATGTCAGTGCTTTTCTGAGGAAGAAATTCAGATGTTTCAAAAGGACAGGCTTTTTCAGCTCAAGGTGCTTGTTGAAAATGTTGGGGTATCTAGTGGTGTATTTGTGATGGTGAGTAGCACTGAGTTATTGGAGACTGCTGTGATTAGTTCTGTAAATATCTTGCTCTTGATGTTGTCATGTAACATTAGTTAATTACATTTTTTTTTAATGCTGACTAGAGCACTGACAACTTTGACAGTTATAGGAATACTTTATCTTATTCAGTTATAATATATGTCCTTCAGAGCTAATGTGCCAACTGATAGCTTATATATGGTGTCAGATGTGACTTTGATTTAGCAGTTAAAGATATTTTGGACTACAGGCAGTTTGTGTGTGGATATTAGTTTTTCAGGGTAGAGCCTTCCACTCAGAGATGTTTCTTATTTATATTTTTTTTACTATAAGATTTCTCTTTCGAGAGCCATAACTGCACTATTGACTTTCTTGCAGTGGTTGCTTAGACAACATGATCTATCAAGTCAGCTCTGTAATGGCCAAAAGTAAAACATACATTCTAACATTTTAGACAATGAAATGTAAAATTGTGGCCATATAGCACTTGCCTCATTTAATGCTTTAGCTGTGCTGTGTATTTCTTTATGCTTCCTGCTTCAAAATTGTCACTCTATTATTATGCTTAGTCCCATGAAATGAGAGTATAGTTGAATCTAAGTAAGCATTCAAAAGAATCTTCTGGTATAAGACATATTAAAAAAGCTTTAAGAGCAGTGCTGTTATTTTCAAGAAAGAGAACTAACTTGCTGACTAACATGATTTTCTAACATAATACCTGACTTGTTTTTAACAAAACCTCTCTTCACTTACTTTATCTTCATCAACTTCTCACCAGAGGAAATAATCTGTGTGTGAGAAAGAAAAGATGTTTTTGCATTTACTTCTCTTTTTCTTTTTTATCACATTAGTAATTGTCATAAACACTGGATTAAGATTTAATCTTAATTTTAAGAGATTTGCGTTGCTGATTTGAATTAAAACAAATTCAGCATAGTATTAGTGAGGAGTTTTCCTTCACTAATAATGAAGTCTGCAAAACTGAAAGATCAGGAAGGGACAGTGTAGTCTTATGCAAATAGGTGAGACAGAATGGCTTCTGGTCATGGCACCCATAAGTACCTATAGGAATAATTAATGGAAAAAATTTGAAGACATTAAAAATTTCATAGTTTTTCTTTGTTACAAACCCGCTTTAGAATCTGTGCAGTTTAAATATATTTTGGTCTGTGTCAGAGTTGGATAAGAACAAAAGAAAAGAAATTGAGACCACAAATTTGACAGCCAAACAGGTCCTCAAGAGAATTGTGAATCTAGTAGTAGGGTACCATGTTGCAGAGCAGCCAGGAAGGAGAGCAGTGTTCAATGCAAATCTGGATGGTTTATGCCGAGTGTTTCAACTTGTTAGATATTCATGCTTGACAAAACTTTCTCCTAAAAAATTGTTTGTCCTTAGTCAGATAGGTGTTGAGTCTGCAGTTACTTCCATATAAGGTTTATTTTATTAATTTAACATTGCCAGAGAAAAATCTGGGGACTTGAAGGCAGTTTAATAAATAATTCATGATTAATATAAAATAATAAACTTATAATGAAAGTAGCAACTAAGACATACAAAGTTAACATTTCAGCTTGATGGAAAAACTTTGACATATCTCTTTTTTTTTTTTTTTAAGAAATGAAAGGATTAAAGTAACATGAATGTTGCATTTGTTTTCATTAAAGCTTTGACTGTTCTAGTGACCTGGGGTCATTACTTAGAGGCGTTATTTAATTAAATTGAAGGTATTATTCTTTGAAGCCTTATAAGTCTGAAAGGATAAATGAGATATAATATATCATCAAGGAAATAATGGTAAGAGTTTTTCTGGAGCACTGTGTGAAGAGTCTGTAAGGTATTAGAAGTCCAGAAGACTTTTCTTTAGATTGACACTAGCAGAATCTTTGGGTGTTATACACATTATCAAGGTGCTTAGTGCTTTTATAAAAAAAAGAAATAATAATATTATTATTGTTGTTGTTGTTCAGAGGTTTCTTAGTTTTGGAAAGGGTGGGCTTGCATTTTAATTCAAGGAAGATAAGTTCTTGAAATGAGCAGTCTTTTGATTAAAGTTTATGTTCATTTGTACAGTAACTTCATGACCCTTTTACAACACATTGCAAAGTCATTATAGATGAGGACCTCATATATTCAGCAGGCTAGATGTAGCGTGGCGCATCTTAGAATTTTCTTTTCTATTTTTGATGCATTTTATAGCGTTTTTTACAATGACAACTTCCCTGCAAGGACAGTTTATTATGTGTGGTAGTTGTCAGTTTTGAGAGGAATGCTTGCGTAAATCCTTCCACTGGGATGATTTTTCTACAACACTTACTTTAATAAATAAGTGGTTACCCTCTAGATAAGGAGAAACTGCAACAAGTATTTTGGTTGAAGCAGAAGCTTTTTCCTTAGGATTTAAAATCGCACTGAAACTGCTGGGGTACACCTAAGCTTCAGTGAAAAAAAAAACAATATGGACCATGCTCCATATTATCATGTTCTTTCTGCTTACTTTCACTTCTCGTGGAAAAAAAAAAAAAAAGAAAATCCAAAAATTGTTTGGGGATATAGGATGATTAGATCCATACAATTTTGCATAAAATAGGATGATATACTGTATTTATAATTAGTGGGCAACGTAGAGTAGCTATAGCAGTAGTTGCCATAACCATACTGCTGTTATACACAGAGCTCCCTGCGTGGTAGTTGTTACCATTTTAGAAAGCTAAATACTCAATTACGTAAATAAGGTAAAACTAGGGAGTGGTGGAGAGAAGTAGCAAAGAATGTTTATGCACCACAATTTCTGTTTTAGAGAAAATTCATTCAAAGTAAAATGAAAGCTGGTAGCTGCAGGGTGAGCCCTGCAAATTTAGATCCATGTCATAGCTTGAAATTAATCACTCTCCTAAAGTGCTTGAAGCAAAGAATCACCTTTGTCATTTCCTGAAGGCTTAAATTTAAAATACTGTGCACAATCAACTGTAGTTTACCCTAGTTCCCAAGGAAAAAAGAGCCTGAGTTCATCATTGCCATAATCCACAGAGCAGATACCTTAGACTGAAGTGTTCTGAATGTTGAAAATAATTAGGGAAATCAAATACCTTTAGTTTATTAAAAGAACTAGCATAACCTCTGCTTCCTCTTGAACATGAGCAAAAGCACTAAGGCAATATGATCTTACCAAAGGGAAAGTATTTCAGGAAAACTGAGGCTGCCGTGTTTCATTCAGCCCAGCCACAACTGAGGTATACTGAGATACACAACAAAAATATTTTTGCAAGAAAATTGCAAGTGAATGCCTCTTTCCTGATTTTGAAAT